GAATGAAATCACTTGAAAAACCATGTCCAATCCTCAGAAAAGTTAATCTTTCTGCTATGTGTAAATAGATTTCACAGAACTTCTACTCTGTGTGCCACCAGACCCTCACAAGCCACATATGGCTCCAATAATCTACATGTCACAGGAATAAAGCAGAGAAGATTGTGGGAATTGCGTGAATTCTTTTAAATAAAACTTTGCAGATGATGTTAGAAAGCAGACTACACTATATGCTACAGAAGAGAAAACTACTTCCTCTGCTTGCAAACGACTAAACAAGAATCTCGTTAATGAACAAGTCCTTGAACATATGAACAAAATACAGCAATTAATCACTTGAGAAATTACGGTGCTATTAAGAGTACCAAACTTGGGTCTTCCGTCTGCTTTTAACTCTGTCTTAACTTCACCTTTCTTCAGTTTACATTGGCTTAACATCAGAGCCTCAACTTCAGAATTCGAGATTTCTCAGAGCTCTGTTACAATCTCTTACATCTTTCTAATAATTTTTGCCATAGTTTTGAATAACAGCTAAGCTGAGCTATTAATCTTGAAATGCATTAACTCAACCACAAGTGGTTACATTCATTCCTTACACTTCATTCTCCTGAAAGCCATCTGCTGTCTCCTTGCTATACTGACCATCACTAACACTAACTGAGTTTCAACGAAGACAAGTGAATATATCTCTGGATGACTAGACATTCTGTTATCTATAGAAATACAGAACATAATAAAGCCTTTACTAGTAAGATTACCCAGCTGATAATCTAGAGGACTATGAGCTTTTTTCTTCTCATAATACAAGGCATCATATTAAATGTAATCTGTAATCTGTTAGCCATGTCTTTTCTTTCTGTCTGCAGGTATGCTGCCTAAGAGTAAGGTAAGACTAATGTCAATAATCACCTGAGAGTTTTCAGCAAACATAGAATATATCTGTTCTTCTTCTTTTTTTTTTTTTTTAAACAGAATCTGCTCTAATTAGCATAAAACATGAATTCAAAAATATGTGCTGATAATTTTTTCTCAGGCATGCTTGAAGATTTCATTAACAATATTTAAAACTTCAAGTGTTATGGAAATCAGCTTTAAATTAGAACACCGCTCACATTATATTGCCTCATAAAAGTTAAAATCTCCTAAAACAAGCCATCATTTTCTAACATTTTCTAAGGTACCAGTGGTGAATTCTCACAGTGGAAATCTAGTCCTCTGGCAGGCCACCAGGCAGGCTTAATTTAAATTTGACAGGTTGTAGTGCAGTGTAAGGTTTACTTGTTCAATCAAGCATTCAATTAACTAACATGTCAGTATGTTGGTCCTTTGTGGGACAAATAAAAGGCAGCTAAAGTGCATTGAGCCATCTGAATGGATAGTTGTGTAATTAATATTTGCTTTTAATTTATTGTAAGATGTCCAGATGCTCTGGCAATCAGTTCCTGAGAAATCCTTAAAATAATTGACTGAGTTCTGTAAACTTTCTAGAGGGCAGCAGGTTTTCCTGTTTTCTCTATGCGATTAAAATTGGGCAAATGATTCAGACCCTTTAAATTTTTAAAAATCTTTTTTATTAACATAATTTTTACATTTATGACAGAATTTCTCTGTAATTTAATGTTTGTTTACTACTAGGGTTTATCTATTATCTATACCCCGTCTCAGACTGTCATTGTTTTGGGACCACACTGCATTCTCCAACTCAGTAAACCAAGATTTATTGGTTTGGGAGAGAAGGTGGCTTGTAATTTCAGGACATTTTCTTTTTCTCAGTTAATCTCATCTTTGTTAGCTGCTCCATCAGTTAATCTTAGTTGTGTAAACACTGAACCAGGAGAGGGAAAGGCATTTGAAGTGTGTGATTTTATTACATATGAGTTGAGATAGGATGAGTTGTCCTCTGAAAGCATGGCTCTCTTTCTACTGCTTAGATAAGTAATTTAGACTATATGTAAAACTTTTAGGTGAAAAACTGGAGGAGGGGGGAGATCAGAGCTTTTCAGTCTGTTTCCATCTCAACTACAATAGCTATCCTAAACATTTCCTATAGCCATTGGAAATTCAGGTATCTTCAGATCTTTATGTGGCAAAACTTTGCATTTCACCAAGGCCTGAGAGTGAATGGAGTGCTTCTCAGCTAACCAAAAGACTGGCTATATATACTTAACATCACCTGGTGACACTGACACCGTGGGAATAGCAAGGACATTTCTAAATATCATTCCACTGGTGACCATTTGTCTCATAAGACACTACAGGCCCTAGTGGGAGGTTCATCATGTGTTCCACTGTGCCCTGTCCAACACACTATTTTGTATGTCTGGTAAGTCCTAGAACTGATTTTTATCTCCACTCCCCATTGCATTTGCATCATGTAGTTATGCATTTCCCCCAATCAGACACTGGACAAAATGTCATTTGCAGAAGGATCATTCCCACAGCTATCACCCCTGGCTTATTTTTCCCCTGACCAAAGTTGTATTGATTTTCCTACTGCCATCTTCCTTGTTAACAGTTAATGATCCCACTGAATGTACAGATAATAGAGATGCCAGTATCCTTGTAGGGGTTAGCTGTGATCACACAGACATCCTCCCACCAAAATACCAAAAAAAAATAGTAATAACAGAGATCCCACAAACATTCATCTACATAGACACATTAATTTGAATGGTAATAGAAATCTCACCCAGAAGGGGTAGATTAGCTCATAAATCAGATTTAAGGAATACCTTTTCAAACTTTACATCTTGAATTCAAGATATAGAGGGTTCATTTTTAAGATAAACTGCTTAGCAGCTACTTCTTTTTTACATGTAATACACTATGCTAACTTCTATGTTTAAAAATACTAAAATATTTAATGTTTAGTAGGATACAATACTAAATTCTATGTTTTGTAAGATTTATTTTACAGCTATGAAAGTTTTTTAAAATATGTGAGCCATATTTTCCAAGCTCCACTTAATCTATCTTCAACATTCAGTTTCTGACTGGAGTCTGCTTGGGGACTTTATTTTCAGGAGGCAGAAGTTTGACAATATTTGGAAAAATAACCAGTTTGAGAGGTCTTCAGTGAAATACTGAGAAGTTGAGGCACCACAAATGACTAGTCATTTTTGTAAAACACGGAACATTGTGAACAAAACCAATAAAAAACTCTTTCATGTTTTTGAGCTATTCAGTCTGAAACTAGTTCATATAAGGTTTGGAATAGTTAAAGAATATGACCTGAGTTTTCCTGCCAATATGATAACTCTTTTAAAGTCAAAATGGTATGTATTTCTTTTCCTTAGCATTGTTATAGTAAAGCACATCTTATTTTTTTTTAAATCTATGAATGCTGCAAATCAAACGGCTCCCTCAATATCAATACAAGTCTTATTCCCGTTTCAAGGAAATAAGAAATATATGACAGTCCACAGCTGAACATGAAAAAAAATTCTACCTCTGACATTTTATGCTCCTGCTTTATTTCCATTCACGTTATCTTGGACATTACTCTTAGGAAAGTCATTAAAAGTTCAAAGGTATGTATGAGATTAAGGCTTTCAGGAGAATGAAATTGAAGATCGGTTTTCAGTACTGATATCTCTTGCAGTATGCAAAAATTTGACATTTCTATTGCTCTTGGGGTATATTATCAGCAGACAGTGAACTTAACTTTGGGTTCCCACGGATTAAGAAAAGTTACTAGCATGCTGTGAAACGGAAAAGCAAAAGATTATCCTCTTTATTCAGCATATGTATGCAGGCTTCTAGCATGCCAAAATTTAAAGGGTATAATTTCTATAATTGGTATTCCTAACACAGTGAAAGTTTTATCTGAATGTTTCTGAGCTTATCTGTATACAAAAGCACAAGTATAAAAGAACAGTCCAAGATTTCTGCTGAGCATGACTTTTTTTTTAGAGTCTTTTTTTTCTAACAATTTTTTCCCCTATTTATTATTGGGAGATAAAGTAGGAAACTCTTTTGCAGCCCTTAGCTAGAGCTAATGGGACCCAGGCAGTATTACCGCCAGAATGAATCTGCATGTTAACTAACCCTTTGTGTAAGGGTCTAGCACCTGACACTCTTTTATATTGCCATAATTAAATAAGTTGATGGGTCAATTAAAGTGAACTTTTCACTAATAATGACCTTTCATTACAACTAACTGAAGAATCAATGGTATGAAGTCAGCCAGGCTGGAAACACTAATACAGAAAGCCTGTCAGATGCAGACATGTAACAAAGTCTGCACCTAAAGCTAAAGTAGGGCTCTGTCATATTAACAGTTGTATCATATAGTCTGATAAAGATTAATGCATTCATCTGTGTTCAATGAAGTTGTACTTTAACACGCAATCTAATTTTCTTAAAAGTAACTGTTGCTGACGCTTAGTCGAATGTTTTAATTACCAGCAGTGTTATGGTGGTCAATGATTTGTTATATTGGATCTACCAAATATTAAGGAGCTTCAGCAGGATAGGTGAGTGAATTCTCTTTCATCCACAGCCTCTGGAAACACAGAAATCTCTGGGCAAGGATTCAGTTCTGACAGTGATTTCTAGTGATGGGCTTGTACATGGAAAAAGTCTTCGTATCACCACAGGTGGTTTGACGAGGATGAAGAATTTTGGTAAATTAGTAAGAGATTCATAATCTTTCATTAGGTGTGACAAAAACATCATGGGTGAGGATACAGAATAATGAGGCTATTCTAGTTCTGGAAATTTCATTTGTCAAGGTCTCAGAGGTGTCACTCTCCGCAATTCACATAAAGAACTCAATGGGTCTTGACAGAGCTGATTTTCACCTGCTATCCATTAGGTAAAGTTTCTAAAAGCAGTCAGTGCTAGCCTAACTGTAGCCCAAATAACTTTGGTGAAAGTTCACTAATGAGTTCAATGGAGAGTGCCAAATCAATAGTAAGTGCTTTTCAAAGTCCCACCACTTAGTCTTTGAAATAAACATATCAATTAAAAAAACATAATATGAGAAAAGCCAAGAAATATCAATGCCAGCCACTTCTTTACTTCAGAAACAACTACACAACAATAGTTGAGCATGTCTGAACAACAGAACACTGCAAATTTCCAAAATATTACAGAGAGGAGGAACACATTCAAACTATGAAAAAACCTTTGTGGTACTATCCATTTAAAGATGCCAAAGAGAAAAATGGATGGATACTTCACTAGATCATTCTTTTATTTATAAATACAGAAGTCAGTAGCAGCACAGTTCATTCTAAAAGGGTACTTCATTATTGCAAAGTGTAGTGTTTCTTGATATTTTTCCTCCAGTAAGTAGCAATATGTCAAAACCCACATATTTAACTCACTGCTCTTGATGTCAGAAGACCATGGCATACCCTAAAGAACAAACATTTGAATAGTGTTAAAATCCTGTCAGCGAAGTCTTGGGTATCCATCTGTTGCACAGATAATATACATACTGAAATGACTGCCATTTGTTACCAATACTAACAAAATAGTCAAGACTTCTTGTGTGTGTATGCATAATATATGTATTGCATATCTGCATATATGCAAATCTTATGTATATACATCTATTAGTTGTATGTAAATATGCATATAAATTTCTGCTTAAATATTTACAAACAATTAGTATATTTTTCAGGTTTAGTTTTTATATTGCTTTCAGTTGACTGAAAGGGCATATGGAAACAATAGGGACATATGGAAAAAAAGATCTGTTTTAAGACCAGATTGTGATATGTTTACTCATGTTGAATAACATACAAGAAATATTCCTTCTGTGGCATAAAATACTCTGTTGTGAAGAAGTGTCACAATGCAGCAAATTGTATTTATTCACGCTGTAAGATATTTACCTGCAGTAGTGATAGTGTCATGTCAGAACTAAATCTGGGGTTTGATTGTTAAATTTATTTCCTAATTGTATTCTATGATAATTTTTTCGAGGCAGGGTTACTCTTTTTTTTTTTTACACAAACTGGGAACAGACTCTTACCTCTGCAGTATAGAAATTACCAAGAAGGATTATTGAGGTCTCCCATTTATAAACATTATGCTGCTTAGTTTACAAGCTTAAAAATGTGACTTTCAAAATGGATTGCTAATGCCACACTGTATCCAAATAGTGTTTAAACTGAAAAATTATTTGCTACTTAATGCTGTTGAGACACTGCACTCACCCTATTTTGCCTAGGCAGTAGCATGGGTCTCCAAAGTGTGAATGGTTTTATGCATGAGGTGTGCAGTTACTCACCCTCATACACCTTGGAGAAGAGAAAGAATGGAATTTCAAGCTTGTCTCTGAACATCTTCCTTGAACAGCCTGAAGTTTAACTGCAAACTCTCCTACCCTTTCCTGCTGCACCCACACTGTTTCAAAAGTCCACCTGAGTTCCTGTCAAAAGAGCTGGAGATATTGGCTCTGCAGCACTTCTGCAGCACAGAAGCTCAAGCCTGTACTCTAAACTTCAATTTTCTATTTGTGGCCAACACATATACCCACACAGACACACAAGAGAAAGTTAAAGGGATGTTTGAAAAGCATTAACCCACTTCACCTGGGAAAATTTGCATAGATGATTACTATATGTACAAGTAAGAAAACATAATTAAGGCCCTTCTGGTAGACATCACACACGAACCTTCCATTAAATTCTATAGGAGGTTGATGCTGAGGCCTTGATCCTCACTAGTCCTACTCCTTGATTTTAGCCCAAAGTAAATGCCCCATGAAGGGGATAGATCTTTTATTTTAAAGATCCTGATCCTGCAAACAGTTTTACATACATAGATCATCTGCAGAATCAGAAATGCCCCAAGGCCCCATAATAAAAATATGAAAAAAAATATATAAAGGCATATTTTAAATCTGCATGGCCTCTGTTAATGGAAGTTCTATAGTTCCTCTACACATTTTCAGAGAGACACATTTTGCTCACAAAATATTATAAATTAAGAAATGAAAGTGCATATTACTAGTTCCTCAATTATAAATTCCCTAGGAAAAAAATTCTAGTTTACTTCTCAATGGTAAATATGGATAAAGTAACTGCTAATTCCAACAGCATTTCAATATAAAAAAATAGAATTTCACTGGGGATTTGGATTATTTAGACAAGATAACACTATTTTGCAAAAGAGATAATGCAGAAAGCCACAACCACTTTAAAAAATACAGCACTGGCAGTTTACATCTGTATAGATTATATCTATATAACCTAGAACAAATCCACAGATATGCCCAGTAACAGAAGATTCTTAGTTCATTCCCTTTTTTCAACGTAACATCTACACTACTCTCTTTTTGATTTACAAGCAGTTAAGTACTTGATTCCAGTATTCATTATTTTCCTTGACAATAAAACTGTAAAGAAAACCTGACAGAAAAAAAAATACATTGTGTCAGAGGATCCATGAACATAGGGCAGCTTTACATGTCAAATTTGAAATCCAAGTACAGAAAAGTTAAAAATTTCATAATAATTAAGCCAGCAAATAAATTCCAGACCTGCCATGGAAACACTGACACTTGACCTAACAGCAGCACTTGATCACACTGTAGTCATATATTATTATCCTTTAAACCCTAATTCTGCAGTGAATCTGCCCTCAGCATGGTAGCCCAGTCACACCTCCTTATATATTTCTCGGTTAATTCTTTGGTACTGGCACTTAGATCTTTCTCCTGGGTTCTAAAGCAGAAAGCACACTGTCTTCACACCATAAGCAGCAACATATAAAACTTTTTAGTCACATCCAAGTATAATTATGGGCAGAACACTGTCCACAAGCTGCTCTAATAGAAATCTTTCATAGAAAATAGCTAATCTTGAAACTAGCAGCAGCTACCCCAGACTGCTACTTCCTCTGTAGGTGCAGATAGAGGGTGAGGAACCGGGCAGGCTGAGGTACCTGATCTCACAAGATGCTATGTGTCTTGAGTGAGATACAGCGTGCCTTCAACTCCAGCCAACATTGCCTGGAGTTACAGATGTTCAATACATCGCATAAACAGGTCTGTAAATTCTGGCAGAGTTTTGCACATTACTTACCTGAATATGAAAGACACTTAAGTGAAATGAGGCAGGATAATTAAGACTCTTCACACTCTACCACAAACCAAGGGCCACATCTTCTTTTAACCTGAAATCCACTATACAGATCAATAGCATATTGCCATAAAATTTATGCTATGAGGGGTTTTGTTTTTTGGGTTTTTTTTGTTTGTTTGTTTTAATTTTATACAACCATAAGACTTGGAAGGAAAACAGAATTCTAACAAATGAAAACAAAGTAATCTGGAAACATAAGATGGAGATGGAGACAAAATTTGACAGTGGTAAAACCTATTTTGCCACCCATCCTTACAGTCCTCTCCCAGTATGCAGTCAACAAACCGTAAGCATTTTGGTCATCACAGGGAAACATTTCACAAAGGCTCTCTATGTTTCAAGAGGACATGAATTGAATTTTTAATAAAAATTAGTCTCAAAGCTATTCAAAAGATTGCATTTTGAAAAGAGAAAGAAAATTGTATCTAAGCAAAATTGTATAGAACCGTTACCCAAAGAACTAACAGAAAGCTTGAAACGTGACACAGAAGAAAGACACGCAAAGTATCCTGACATTGCAATGTCATATTACAAGTCAGTACTTCAAGAGCAATGAATGAGATGTAAATATTTACCCTAGGTAGCTAGACTGAAGAATGCAAACAGATTCCATAGATATAATACAATTTGTCAATATCTTTACTGCTGGAAATGGAAATGTTAACTCCAGTAGGCCACTGATCCTGAAAGATGAGTATAATCAATTACATTTTTTACTTGTCAGTCATTCACATCATTGGCTTTCTTGCAGCTGACTGCTCCCCGGCCTTCCATTTCTTGTTTCAAGGCATTGAACAACTTTTTATATCTGCTCTTCACTCAGTTTTTTACATAGATTCCCTACTGCCATCTCAGGTTAACACTGTTTGTTTCAGAGCTAGTCTGTTTTCTTCCCTTGTTTTCTCAGTGTTGCCCGTGCCCCGTCTCCCATCTCAGAAAGGTGGCCCCTCTGATCTCTGAAGTGTCATCTTAAATTTCACTCTTCGTCAAGGTCCAAAAATTTTATCCATCTCTTACAACCTGATCCAAAGCTCACTGAAGCCAGCAAAAGCCTTTCCATTAACTTCAATGGACTATGAATCAGGACCAGATTGCTGTCAATAGCTCCGGACTGAAATCTAGCAAGAGGAAAAACAACAAAAGAAAGTGTATGCATACCCTTGTTGTTAATTACAGACTGCTACCTGAACATAGTCATGGTAATACTATATCTTAGAAATAGTCACAGATGGTATTAACCTAAGATATTTTCTACAGTCCTTATGCAAAGGACTAAAGCCTTATATTGTTGTAATTTTATCTATACAAATTTGGAGTTATGCCAAAGACTTCTGACAGTTTTTGAATAAATAGGCATACACTAGTTCCTATCACTTCTTTTATATACTATAAAATACCATTCTACATCTAGCTAGGTAAAACAAGGAAAATTGTCATGTTTATGAATCAGGTTAGTAAATCCTTATGGAAAAAATCCAGAGTTAAAATGGTTTAGTAGAGTGACAGAGTATTCAGAAAGCACAGTGAAAAGTTTAAAGACAGCATGTTTTAAATTCTCACTAGTGAGGATATACAATGCTATTCCTGTAAGGAACCTCTGTCTAATCTTATGCTATTAATCTAACAGCAATTTGAAGAAAAAGAATCAGCAATAACACCGTGACTCTCCTTCATTCTTCTTGCCTTCATTCATTAACATTCTGTTACTTATTCCCTCTTCATGTCATTCTCCCTGACTTTTACAACCTCATATCTCTAAAGCATAATTTTTATAAGGAAAAATTAGAATAAATTGCTTTTGCCCACCTTTCCTTCTCCTACCACTTTTTAGTTTTTTGTAAGTGCCTTATTGTAAAGCCAGTGCTTTTCCACAATCCCAAAGCACTCCCACAAAGTGGTATAGGGAAATCAGTTCTAACAGATAATTTAGGAGATCAAATGGAGTAAAATAATTAAGAGACACAACTACTATGTAGCAGATTCTGTTCCTGTTATGGGAAAAGCTATCATCATCAAACAGCAACTATTGCCTGCATAAAGCCAAAATATTACACATTTATTAAAAGGTATCCTGTGGTTTGAGGTTATTTCAACAGTAATTACAACTCACATTTTTACCCTATACTGTACGAAACAAGGTATTTTAGGGGAGGAGATAAGAGTAACACTGGCTATTACCACATAACTTTGCCAAGTGTATCAGAAAATACAAAGCCAGTTAGATGACCTTCACTGAGAGGGTACAGTTTTGAGGGTAGAGGTTTGGGTTTTTTTTTGGGGGTTTTTTTTTGTTTGTTTTTTTTTTTTTAATAAAGATATTTATGCTGACACTTGAAGTACACTCCACCCTCACAGCTTCAGCTATGGGAGGCAAATGTTTGTAGAAATGAAGTTACTGTTGCAACAAGGCTGCTTATGACATTGTTTAATTAAAAAAAAAAAAAAAAGACACAGTACATTGATAGGGGGTGGAGTGTATCGTAGATACAAAAGAGGGGTATTACTTCTCTTCTGTTGTCTGACATTGATGTGGGAAGAGAAGACAAAAACAAATGCATTTTCTTTCCAGCATTGAAACATGCAAAGACAAAATGCTCATTACAAGTTGTATGCAGCTCAGAATAATAATAAAAAGAAATGCCCCAGTATACTTGTTTGAATTTTTTAAAGATATATATATATTTAATTCTCTGATCTTTCAATTCAAAACTTAGAATTAAGCAATGAGTGAACAGGATCTGAAATACAGACAAGGCATTGCTCACATCACATTAAAAGGCATCTTTTAAATGCTGCTGTGGATTTCTAAACTTACACTGAACAGAATTTTTAGTTGCTGGGAATTTGAAATGCAAGATGAACCTGGCCACATTACATCTACTTTCTTTAAGTGGAATTGTAAATATGTAATAAATTGCTGTTTCAAAGAGGCAACATGCAGAATTCAAAATTATTTGTTTCTTGCAGGATTCTGTTGACCTGTGCATGAAGACGTATTGAAGCAGTGGTGCAGTGAGAATCACTACAGCGATACAAATCCACAGCTCAAGCATGAGATCCTAGAGGCTGGATCTCTGAGGAGCAACACAGAGTATACTGTTTTCCAAAATACACCACTTCTTTTAACCAATGAATTTAGTTTGAGGAAAACTGCTGCTCAAAAACTTTTTTTTTTCAGAAGAAAAACGGCAGGAAGAATGGGAGAAGGGAAGAGGTGGAAAAAGCTTATGCATTATGATGACATTTAGCAGGGAGCTGCAAACAGAAAGCAAAGGCAAATATTTTAAATGTGATAGATTTCAACCAGAAATATGAAAGTATTTTCCCCGTAAATTACTTGCCAGAATCGGCTGGGACAACATTTGGATTGCAGCTACAGGCTGAAGCAACATGTTACGAAACAAAACAAACAGGCATTTATCCCCCACACCAACACCCCCTTCCTCTCCCAGTTAGCAAAGTATGACTGATACTTTTGGTTGACTGCAAGGCAAGTATTAGCTAGAATCTCATTAAGCTAGATCCACATCCACGGTCCCAGATGTTTAAAACTTATCATGGATTAAAGCCATGAAATAAAAATTAAAGAAATTTCAATTTGAAATTTTATTGGCGTGTTGCTAGAATGGTCAACATCGATTGACAGGAGAGACTTTGTCCACATATTCTGAGAACAGCCTTCCTGCACCTCCCCCCTTTTCTTCCTCCCTCTTGCTCTTTCAGCATTAATGCTATTAAAAGCCAAACAAAATACTGGCTATGGGTGTAAAGAATGCTGGTTTTTTTGGAATGTTGCCATGGATCCTGCTTCCAGTTATGTCCCACGGAAGGAAGGTGTAGCCTCCTGTCTCTGTGGCAGGCTGGTCTCCCCGGGCAGGGCAGAAAGAAGATAGCCATGTACTCCTACTCCTCCCTATTCTTTCCCATCCACTATAGTCAGGTCTTTGATCACCCTCAGTTTGCCACTGGCATCGATCCTGCGCTTCTCGCGTATTAGATCCTCCAGGCTGTGGAACCTCACTGTGTGCACCTTGTTCTCTGCCAAGTGGATCTTGAGATAGTACTGCTGCTGGTGCTGGGTGCCGGCAGCCGCCTGCAGCTCCCCCCCGGCTTTGAACTCCCGTTTCCCGAAGCGGCACCAGGCGGCGAAGCTCTCGGAGTTAGTCCAGCAGATCTCGTCGCTTTTTAAGCCCAGGTGCCCGCAGGCGTTCTGCACCACCAGCTCCGCCACCAGCGGGCGGAAGCGGTACCAGCTATTCACCACCCGGCCCACGTTGCCCGCGGCCGCCTCGTACAAGCTGTCCTGGCGGATCTGCCCCTGGTGCAGGTGGATGATCTGCCCGCCGCCCACGTACACCGCCCAGTGCGGCGGCGGGTGCTCCGACGGCCCCAGGTAGAGCAGCTCCAGCAGGTCCCCCGGCTTGCAGAGGGCAGGCAGGGCTGACACCGAGTAGACGCTGAGGTCCCCAGCCTGGGGGCCGCTGCTGACCTTGGAGAAGATGCATTCCTGGCCGCGGAAAGCGGAGAACTGGGTCTCGTTCAGCACCAGCTGGTGGTGGAGGTGGTGGGTGGGCGTCTCCTGGCCAGGGCTGCCGGAGCCCTTCACGCCGTACTTGTCTGGCTGGCCTCGCTCGTCCAGGTCCTCCTCCTCATCCGAAAAGAAGTAAGCCACCCCGACGCGTAGCTCGTCCTTCTCGATCCCCGAGGGGTCCCCGGTCGGCAGCTCGCTGTAATTCAGGTGGGTGATGCGATCCAGTTGATTTCCCATCAATGACAGGGCGAGGCAAGGGTAGGAATCGCCGGATCTGAAGGAGGGCGGGGTGGGCACAGACAGAGAACAAGAGATGGGAAGGAGAGTGCAAGCGGAGGGAAGAAAGAACGAAAGAAAAAAAAAATAAATCAAGGCACATACAAAAGACTTCAGCGATTCCGCCCTAAGCCCCCATCCCTCCCTCACTGCTTCCCTCCCCTCTGCGCAAGGGATAAACTTCCAGTGCGGATCCTTCCCCTACCCCCAGGGTGCGGGGCAGGGCAGAGCCCCGACTCCCCGGCACTCTCCCCACGGTACTGGAGCGCCCGGTTCCCAGTGCCGGGAGAGAAGGAGGCTCCCGCCGTCCGTCAGCGCTGCGCGGGGGGACCGAGCTGCCCCGGGAGTCTCCTCTCCCCGCCCTGCGAGGGGAGAGGGCTCCAGGAGGGTCTAGCCGGAGGGTCCCAAGCCCTCCCTTCCGCCAGCACAGCCGAGCCGAGCCGCGCTGCTTACGGGGAGGCGGCTGGAGGAGCCCCCGGGGCTGGCACCCCTGCCCGCCCGCTCCCCACAGCCCGCCCGGGACCCGGCAAAGAACAGGAAAAGCGCAGGAGAGCGGCACCCTCCCACACCCGAGGGGTCCCTCCCGTCCCGCTCCGTACCCGTGGTCGCCCAGCGCCAGAACCCCCCCAAACTCCTTTAAAGTCGTCCTGTCCCCATGGGCGCCGCAGAAGGAAGCCAGCTCTGTCCTCCCCGCCGCTGCTGCCGCTGCCGCCGCCCGGCTCCTCCGCCCGCGCCGCTCTGGGCGGCCCGGCCCCTCCGGCGGCCCTAAGTAGCGGCGGCGCCGCTGCCGAGCCCGCCCCGGCCCCGCTCATTGGCCGCGCCGCGCCCCGCGCTGGCGGGGCTGGGCCGTCTCACGGCCCCACCGGGCCCCGGACCCCGACCCGCGGCTGCCCCGGGGCTGCACAGGCGGGGCCTGCCGGGGAAAGGGCGTTAGACCACCTCGCGAAGCCGCTGCAAAGCTAACCCCTGCACCAGAGGAAATAAAAAGAAATTAAAAAAAAAAAGTCGTTTTTATCCAGCTAGCCCGCCCAGGTTCAGCAGGTGGGACGCGCGCGGCCAAGAGTTGTTCCGTCCCTCGAGGCTGGACGTGGGTGTCCCCTCACCTCACTTCAGCGGTCTCACGTTGTGCCTGTGCAGTCTAAGCTGATAGCCTGGGTTTCCCTTTGGTGAGGAGAGACAGGCATTTCCAGAGGGCTGTTCCTCTTACCTGTTGTGCCTCCTGTTTTAGGAATTGCCCTAAGGAGGTGCCTTGCCATTGCCTCTTGCCATCGCCTAGATGTGAAGTCGGAATGTTTGATGGTTGGCATTAGGTGAAATGACACATCTGAATGAAGTAGCAGTTGTGGGTTGTCCTCAGATGTGACTGAAGACATTGTGTCCTCAGACATGCTATGGTTTAAGTAAAATATTAGACTGCCTGACAGTAGCAGTCCATTCCTTCTGAAAATGTATGAAATCTAAGATCCGTCATCTGTACTAGCCAATAACAATGCACACTTAACCATCTAATTTTGCACATTATGGAAATGGAACTCAGAAAGCCTTTTCCCATGAGGTTGTGTCAAAGATGGGATGGTAACCTGGTTCTTCTGACTTCTTAGTCTTCTGCTCTAACCATGTGAACTTCTAAAAAGTGAGAATTTAAATATTTTAAGACACTTCATGAAAAAAATCTAATGACGTTCTTTGGTTCAGATGTGAATCATATTAAAGTACCATTTTTAGCTTGAAGTAAATCTACTACTTTCTTCACAGTGGAAATAGTTTTGTCATCTAGACATAAGTATTTCTGCTTTCAGTGTGTCAGTAGATAATATCTCTCTTCACTGCTGTCCTTTCCCCAGTCTTCAGGTTTAATTAACTGAGAACAATAATGCCATCACTTTATTCTCGTGATAGAGAGAAGTACATCCTTAAATAAATATAGTGAATTTCAGTTTCTCAGGGTACAAGCTGTATAACTAAGTTCATATGGATCAAATACTGAGTTTCTTAGAAAAATGACCCTTTTCCGTAGACATTCAAATATTGATATAACTGTCTTTCTAGAAGAATTGTTCTCATAATTTTTTTAACATATGCAAAGGCATCACATCATAAGTGGATGAGAAGAAAGGGTGTGTTTAGTGGCATTCAAAGACTGGCATCGGTTATTTTTTCACCGTGGCAATTATACTAATCTGTTGATGGTTACAGGCTTCCCATGTCTCATATACCTGGAGCTACGTCCAGAGACTCACAGGAGTTAAGCTGATTTACAGCAGTTAAGAATGTAGCATTCAGGGTCTGTAAAACTAGAAAGTTAATTTGAAAAAAAAAAAAGAAAAACTTGTTTTCTAAAATATGCATTTTAAACTTTCACAGGACTAAGTATAACAGATGGATGTTATTTATCTCTGGAATTGTGTAAATACTTTTCTAATGATTGTCAGAAATTATATGTTCTTTTACAGCATGACCTTCCTCAACTGCAACATTTTAAATTAAATTATGAAAACACTCTAATAGGTTTAGAGTTAAGGCTACAAAACAGTGTTTAAATATTTTGACTTTTTTTGATAACTGTTCATGTGCTTCATTGTTAAAGCTAGTCCAAATTGAAAGCCATTTTCCATAGACCTTCATCAACAGTTTCTGTTTTCTAAACACTTTACATTTTTCCTGTTTAAAGTCTGCATCTTTTTAGGTTGCACTCGCACAGTTTGCACTTCCCACGTTTGCCAATCATCAAGGCTATGTGGAGTAATTTTTAGATAGTTCTAAACAAACAAAACATTATTTCATCCTTTCCATGCAAAATAGCGGAGAACAGACTGCTTCAGCAAACTGCAGGTGCAGAAGGATGGAGTCTGGGTATAAGAAAGGGTCTGCACTTCTAACTAGGTGGAATAACTCCTACCAAATTTTAACCATTTTTTGGGGGGTCTTCTGTAGTTTTGCAAGTCTGATCAATGAGGGTATTATGTCTCTTGCTGAAGCACTTACAATCCCTTACAATCCACATCTCTCCATGACCTCTATTCAACAGAACTCCAACACCCATTTTCTCATTTCATTTCCATTCTCTTCATGCTCTACTTCCATCCCTCTAGAAGAACTTTCCCCTCAGTTTCTCTTCAATCACAGTTTTGAATTAATACATGGAAAGGTGTTGCCTTAAAAAAACCCAGAAAACACGTCAACCAACAAACCAGCAAACCCCCAAACTTATAAGCATACTTATATATAGCTGTGATTAAAGGACACTACTGGAGATGTTTGTTTTGCCTGAACTAATTTGATTAATAGGTTTATCATCTCCTTTAGATGTTTAACTTCAGGGAGCTCATGGGGTCTTATTTAGCAAGGCAGTGAGTGCAGGCTTGACTGGTCTCAGATGATCGCACTGGCAGTGCAGCATCACTGTTCATACTCCCACTGACCAGCTTCAGCCTCATTAACCAGAGTCATAATCTCTCCTTGCACCAGGACATGGGAATTGTGATGCTACTAACCCTAGTTCGTTGTTACTAACCCTAACAATTTTTTCTGCATTCTGAGCAAGGGAAAGAAACCTGATAATATCTCTGGTTCTGTCCTGGTCTACTCTGAGGGAGTGAATTTACATTTTTCTATTGCTATTTTTTCTTTTTGTGCCTTTTTCCATCCTTGGCATTTTGTCACTGTTGCATTTATGTTTAATTTAATACAGTGAAAAACTCTTAAAATATGTAACAAAATAGATACCCAGTAGCTTATTTTTTTAAAATCTTTTTTTTTTAAATGTTCTTATCATCCTGCCTTGAGCTGAGGGAGCTTTGGACCCCTGTTGCTAAAAGTGGAGCTGAAACCACCATTGATTTTAATGAGTGAAGAACATTTTGTGCAGAAAAGTTTAGGGAAATATGTTTGAAAAAACAACCAGAGATAAAATAAGTGATGATAAGGGGGGGGAACTTTCTTATCTGTTATAAAGTTTAGATTGTTGAAATCAGCCCATTACGATTCTGTTAATGTTGAATCTCAAATGCCTGGAAGCTCTTCTCTGTTTCAGCTTGTGGTTTGGACTGCTCATAGGCACCCAGACATAAAGGGTACCAGGAAGCATCCTCTTCACCTGAAATTCTCTAAAGTGGCTCCATTTGTATACATTTGTACATACTCTATACATATTTCTTACGTGCATATACCTTTATTACCATCTCAGTGTACCTAAGGCCTCAGAGACATAGGAATGCTGGTCCTTTAAGGAACCTGTGATCTGGACCGCAACAAAAGTAAATCATAGAGTTGCTCACTTTTTGCAAACAGCTTTGCATACATATTGTCCACATACCATGCAAGACTAAATGTTCTGATCTGAGATACTGTGGATAAACATGGGCCCTGCTATTGGGTAAACATGTGCCCTGCTAGCCATATAGTAGCAGGCACACTGCACAACTAAGTACAGTTTCTCCATCTAACTAGTTTGGGAGAGTCATGAGATTTTGGATAGGCTGAGAGAGATGGACCTATTCGACCTTGAGACTATTGTGGGAGACCTCGAATATGTGAAGGGAGGGTGTCAAGAGGATAGGACAAGAGGCAACAGGCAGAAACGAATACACAAGAATTTCCACCAGAACATGAGGAAGAACTTTAATGTGTGAGTGCCTGAGCATTGGAACCGGCTGCCAAGAGAAGTTTTGGAGTCTCCCTCAGCGGAGATATTCAAGAACTGTCTGAACTCAATCCTGTGGAATGTGCTCTAGGATGACCCTGCTTCAGCAGGAAGGTTGGACTAGATGACCCACATTGGTCGTTTACAAACTTACCCATTCTGTGATTCTGTGATTTTGGTCATGAGCCTTGGACAACTTTTGCCATTTTTATCCCATGGTGGATAACTCACTCAAGAAGATAATTGTGGTCAGTTTTTCCTGTTGCCTCTTTTCTGCTCTTCTATTTGCTTCTGATGATTTTATGGTTCTCGCATTCACAGGGTCACTTGTAAGTAAAATTCTCTGGCCCTGAGGTACAGTATAACCATATAATTGTCCATCTGGACTTTCTAAACTCCGCAACCAAATAGCTGCGTCCAAACTGCCTCTTAGGGATTATTCCTAATTCATTTTAATCCCTAAAATGTATGGAAGAATAATATCTGACCCATGCCAAAGCTTTTCCAAAGGCCATGCTGGCCAATTAATAGTATGAATAATACTTCAGTCATCCTTGGACCTGTGACCTGACTCTGTGTAGCCAACTGTTTAGACTCTACCCAGCTCCTGGGGAAGCCTCATTGCTTGAAGTTCTCAGGGAGTAGCTGGGCAGGGTGCTGGATAGGGGAAGGGTTTGGGGAGCTCCCTCTCCCCCAAGTGTAGCCTCCCCTGCCCTAGCAAAGGACCAGCTGAGGCCAAGCCAAGGGAGGTCATGGCAGTCATGCAAGACCATCCCAACTCAGGCAGCCTGGCCCGATGCTGGAGCCCCATCCAAGCCTTCTCAAAGCTCTTCCCCATTAAATTTGCTTTTCTCCCGGACATCTTATCAAAGGTTCATCTTATTGGAGCTGATCTTGAACAGGTAGCAAACCTCAAGGAAGTGAGGGAAGAGCTTGTAGATCTTGCTGGAGCCCTGACAGTGGCATCATATTCATACACTGGAATATGAAAGAAAGATAACTGAGGGACTAGATTTTCATTTAGATGTCTGTCTCTCTACACTAAATGGAAACTGAAGTGAATGCATAGGGTTTTTTTAATAGGGGAGGGGC